TGTGTGTGTGTGTGTGTGTGTGTGTGTGTGTGTGTGTGTGTGTGTGTGTGTGTGTGTACACACGTATATACGTATAGTACATACACATATACGCGCGTGTGCGTATACATTTTCTAAGAAAAAAGGTTATATGGTATATGTTTCTTAATAGCACAATTTTGTATCTCAGAAAAATCTTACTTAAATTCTTCGTTGCACGATTACAAAATATATATACAAAATAAGATATTGAAATTAAAAAAAATGCATTTTATAGGACATGAACAATACATTCATCATAATAACAAATTTTAATATATATATTTTAATAATTCAAGATAACATTAATTTTTTCTTTATAAAAGAATGTTAAATGTCATTAAAAAAGTCATTTTTTAAACATTAAAATTATGTTGGAAACCTAACGCTGAAATTTTTTAGCTTATCGTTTTTAACATTCAAAAATTTAATCCGATGCGAAGTAATGTTCTACTCTATAAACAAGTACATTACTCATATAGAAACGAGATATTAAATTCTAAAAATTGTCAAAGCGGATAAAATCGACAATAAGACTTTAAAATATTTTTCGGAGTTTTTTATGAAATATCTTGAAGATGTTTTTCAAAAAAACTCTTAAAAATATCTTAAAGTTGTTTTATGCGCTGATTTTAGACATTCTACTCATTGGTTAACTAAAAAAAAATTGCAATTTGGTAAAGGACTTTTCGATTCAGTTTAGTTTGTTTTACCTGCCCATGAAAGATTATATGATCATCACTGAACACCCTATATTTACGTTTATATAATTTTTCTGTTGTTACAGCATAGAGTATAAGTATTAATTAATATTGATATTCATCTAGATAACATGCATGATTTGCATTGCAAGATTTGTTTGCGATAAGTTGTTTGAAGTGGCATATTATGTAACATACTAAAAGTCCTGACCGTTAGTTCACTTGGAAAACTTTGCAACTTCAAAAAACTGATCAAAAATACGATTCTTCAAAAATATCTCTGATAGTATTGATTTTATCGGAATAAAAGTCATTATGAAAAAAAAGCTAGAAAAATTATAAACAATTTCATTTTGTTTTTCAATATCGATCAATATTTTCTGTAATAGAATATTTTTAAAAATATCGTATTTTTGAGAAAGAAACAATTTTTCATATTTTTTTCGTAAATATCTCGGATATGGCTACTCCTACGTAAAAAGTACTTATTGTCAAATCGAAACATTTTTACCCCTCAATTTACTTTAATTATTTAAAATATAAGTTTATTAATAGTATGTAATAGAATTGAAAAAAATAATATTCATATTTTTCTCAAAGTTTACATGTACGTTATATACGATGTTAGATGCGTATCAAAATATTTTTGGAAAAACAGCTTTGAGGAAAATTGCTTTTTTTCAATATTTTCTTAAAAAAATCTATTTGTCCTTACTTTTTTATAAATATTTCAGTTTCTAAAGGATTTATGTAAAAAATATAAAGTATTATGTGTACAACTTTGCTTCCGCCGTTTTTCTATAGATAGCTTTAGCGATAAGTGGTGGTCGAAATAAATAGATCATAGACGTCATACAATAAACTTGGGCATCTGTCAACATAACTCCATAGAAACATTAGTCGATTTGTGTCTGCATCATAAAGTTATTCTCGATTGAAAATGTCAGTTTATGAGCTAAATTCTCGTCATTTGCGGGAGGTTTTAATTTTTTGCTTCAATATGAAGAAATCTGCGGATGAGGCTCATCGAATGCTCTCAAATACTTATGGTGAGGCCGCTATTAGTGAAAGAACGTGTCGTGAGTGGTTTCAACGCTTCAAGAACGGTGATTTTGACGTCCAAGATCATGCTCTGTATTTAGTGGGACCAGCTCGGCGTAGTGTATTATGAACTGTTAAAACCGACTGAAACAATCACAGGCGATCGGTATCGAACGCAATTGATGCGTTTGAGCCGAGCATTGAAAGACAAACGGCCGCAATACAACGAGAGACACGATAAAGTGATTTTGCAGCATGACAATGCTCGACCCCATGTTGCGAAAATGGTCAAGACATACTTGGAAACGTTGAAATGGGAAGTCCTACCCCACCCGCCGTATTCTCCAGACGTTGCTCCCTCTGACTATCACTTGTTTTGATCAATGGCACACGGCCTGGCTGACCAGCACTTCCGGTCTTATGAAGAAGTAAGAAATTGGATCGATTCGTGGATAGCCTCAAAAGATGACCAGTTTTTTCGACGCGGGATTCGTACGCTACCCGAAAGATGGGAGAAAGTAGTGGCCAGCGATGGACAATACTTTGAATCATAAATGTATAACCAGTTTTTTACAATAAAGCTTCGAATTTCGGAAAAAAACGGCGGAAGCAAAGTTGTACACCTAATATATCAAATTAAAACTTATAAATTTCCTACAAAATGCTTTTTTTCTTCTCTGTCTATCAATTTTTGTGCAAGATACAATTGTTTGAAGAAAAGATTTTCTGTGATGATCTTTTTACTGAAAGTCATAATCTACACTTGAAAATGGTGTATTTGTAAAAATGTACAATAACGACACTTTCTGACTTCTTAATAGATAATATTCCCTTGAATTTTTAATATGTTCGGTTTCTTTCAAAGAACTGCTGATTATGCTCTTTTGTGCCGCTGATATATTATATACTTTCACTGTAGCGTATTTTAACATAAAATATAAAATATTGTAGAGTTCAATTTAAATATCTATAAAAATATTATGTTTAAAGCGTGTTAGATTATCGATATTAAGTAAACGGAAGGCAAGGTTATGTATATCGTTCGTGAATGTTTGTAGAGAGTAATTTTTCTAAGAAAAAAAAAAAGAGCATTGACATTTCGTATATATAGCATATATTTACAAAAAAGGAGATTTCCACCTTTAATAAAATAATAATATTAAAATAAAGGGTTATATTCTATTTTGGACAATATTTCTAAGAATAATTTCAATTGCAAATTTCTTATAACTGTGACGTGAATAATAGAACTATTTGAAAAATGGGTTTGTATTCAGCATCCAATAAAACTATTATGGAAAATGACTAGTCTTGTTCTGGTATTCGAAGAAAAGTCATTTTTTATCAAACAATATTATTGTTTATTTATCTCATTATTCTGCATAAAAATATTAATTAGATACAATTACCAAATAGGGAATAATTTACAATATTATAAACATGCAAATCAACGTCTTGGAGTTCTCAAAATCAGTCTTACCACGAAACGGAGATAGAAATTGACGGCAAAAAAGAATTTAGTTTATAATATGACAACACATTTCGAAATGTCAACGCTCTTTTTTTTTTAAATTACGCTCTACAAACATCCACCAACGATATACATAATCTTGACTTCCGTTTATTTAATATCGATAATCTAATACGCTTTAAACATAATAATATTTTAATGAACATTTAAATTAAACTACAATATTTTATATTTTATGTCAAAATGTGCTACAGAAATAATATGTTATTAAATGTTGATTTTTTGATCATTTAATATACGATTTAATGTACGATTATACATGAAAGGTGACTCCAGTATGGTTGGAGTATATTCCATACACTGAATTATCCAAATTCCATACACTGAATTTCATATTTGTATAATATTTGGTCGGGGAGAAATTTAGAAATTAGAAATTATAATTTAGAAATTATAAACATTCGAAAAATGCCACTGCATTACTTGAAGGATGTAATGCAATTTTTACATGACAATCGCGAGATCAGAGATCTTATATCAAAATACATTTAAATAAAATTTATTCGCGTTCTTTTAACGATTCCTACATCAACTTATTCGAATGAAAGATCATTTTCTTATTTAAGAAAATTATCTTCGATCGATAATGAAACAAAAACGTAAATTATATTGCGATATTATACATTTATCGAAAAATAATCGATAAGTTAAATGTGGGAGAAGATCATTAATAATTTTATTAAAAAAAAATAAAATTAGAGGGGCTACTTTTGCCATTTATTCTCACACCCTCCTCTTCTCTTCTTCAATCTATCTTCGAGAATTCCATACACTGAAAAATTTCACTTCGCTGCCCCTACATTTATATTGAATATATTATAACTTGATTGTATTATAAAAAATCATACAATTTTGTTTTAAAAAGCTGATTTTGAAATCTTCAAAAAAATCTTCATTTCAAAATATACACTGTATTAAGTTTCCTTCGACATCATACATCTTTTATATATAAGAATTTCATATTACGTATAACATTACTTCTTCAAACATGCAAACATTTTTTAAAACCCTTAATCTTTATATAATAATGAAAAAAAAGTTAATTTTACTATTATTAGTGGCTCGTCAAGCTGTACAACTTTTGTCTAAGGCATTATTTTTTACAATCCAAAATAAAAGAGTTTTAGGAGGTAAATTAAAATAAGACATTTTACATTTTATATAATATATATTTTATATTCATATAAATATAAAAATATAAATATAATACATAATATATAAAAAAAATGTATATATATATATATATATATATGTGAGTTAAGTGGAACGCACCTATAGATATATTTTGGTTTTCATTTATTTTTAGAGTAGCTGTGAAGTTCGCAGTCAACGTTCAGTTGCGATCGCGCATGCATGTATTTCTGTATGAAGAATAATATATTTGCGAGATCCATAATTGTTCGTTACATTCTAATAATTATAAACGATTCTTTTGATTTCATTTCATATATGTAGTGTATTTATTTTGTTTTTGCGAAAGTTATTTTGTGAGAAAATTATATAGTTATAATAGAAAGAAAAATTAAAGATATTAAATAATATAAAATCAATTTGACGTAAACAAATTTTTTAATAAGTGCGTGTAAAGATTGTGAAAATGGACGATTACCTCATGGAAAACACTTATATAACTTTCCATCAAAAATAGATGCCAGACTTGATTTATGGAGATATAATAGTAAATTTATGTACAATATAAATATATAGGGTGTCCAGGAAGTTTTTGAGCATATGAAGCGCTTGTGTGCAGTTAGAGTAGACTAAACTGTGTCCAAAAATTCATGATAAGGAACTAACTCTCCATGCAACATGGCCTAGCAAATATAATCACTAGATGAGTTTTTTTGCGAAACTTTGCGAAAATTTTTTAAGAAAAGTAGATCGAGATCCCAGATTTCCTTCTCGTAATATTTAACGACGAATCGCTATTTACACAAGAGTAAGAAGGAGTATTAAATTTTTACAACATGCATTTATGAAGTGAGGAAAATCCGAGAATTACGCGATTGAGGAACTTTCAAACACGTTGGGAGATTAATATCTGGGTGAGAATTATGGGAACTGAAATATTAGGTCCCATTATTCTCCCAGATATTTAAACATCGTCTAATTTTTAAAAAATAATTTGCCAGATTTTTTTAAAAGATATTCCACTAGAGAGGAACAAAATAATTTTTCAGCAAAACGACGCTGAGCCACATAACGCCAGAATTGTGACGGCTTATTTGAAACAGTTTCCGAGATGGTGGATGAGACGATACAGGCCAATACATTGCCTCGCAAGATCTCCAGATCTCAATCCTCTGGATTTTTTTTCTGGGGCTACTGCAAGGAGTTAATTTATAAAACGCTTCCTGAAGACGCAGAAGATCTAGAAACAAGATGCGATATGCCGTATGAGCTATCGAAGAGAATGTTATGAAAAATGTACAAAGAAATTTGTTGAGACGCATACAAGTCTGCATTATGATGATGGTCATTTTGAACATCTTTTATAAAATTTTTTCTTCTTTTTCAGGGCATTTAAGCAATCCGCTCTTTTTAGAACGTTCAAAACAGTCTGTTCTTTTCACGATCGAAAGCAATTCGCCCTTTTTAAGACGACTATACGTTTTTATCTGGAATATTTCTCGTAAGGCAAAGTGAAAAGAGAAAAGAATGAGAGAAAAGAATGAGAGAAAAGAATGAGAGAAATGTGCGAGAAATATTAACTCTGCAAAAAACGAGTAACATGCAACATTATTTCATCATTGATCCTTCATCGTTTGCAATTGGAATTGTTTTGAATTTTCGTGCTTCAATTAATCACACGTTCGCGTTGAACAGTGATACTACCAGTTCATGAAGAATCTTTCCTGGTTGTAGTAATCTAATTTATCAACCCGTAAAATTAATGCATTAAGTCGATAAATCAGATTACACTATAATCATGTGAATTTGCGTGCATTTGCTGTTCAACCATAATCAATAAAATCAGTGCGCGTCTACTTAGCCCTGTTTACCACGTCGAGTAACGCGTGTTGTGTAATAGTAATGTGTGATTTTCGATCGCCTAACAATTAATCGACAGTGATTGATAGTGATTAATTAATAGATTTATTAGTAAAGTCAGTCGACTGCTTGCCATTATTGCTCATCGAGTAACGCGTGTTGTATAATAATAACGTGTGTTTTTACACGCGATTTTCGATCGCCAAACAATTAATCGACAGTGATCGATAGTGATTAATAGATTTATTAGTAAAGTCAGTCGACTGCTTGCTATCGTCGGATAAAAGCTTATGTACATATTTTCTTCATAAATGTATGTTGTGTGATAAAAATATGTGTTTCTTCACACGATTTTCGGCCGCTATTAAATAATTAATTGGCAGTGATTGATAGTGATTAATTCAATTTCATTAATAAATTTCTCATTTCCTTAAACGAATAATGGATCGAATAAACAGTTAGTGTTGTGCATGATTATTTAAATTTATTAGAAACACTTGTTTGAAAGTCCACTGTTTGGAATTCTATCGAAAAATTCATTGGAATTCCGACCTTTCTCATGGAAATTTGGAATTATTAAATCATCTTGACATGATAAGTAAAAGAGTGAGTGACTAATTGAATGAGTGAGCGAGTGAGAAAGTGAATGAGTGAGTGAGTGAGTGAGTGAGAGAAAGAGAGAGAGAGAGAGAGAGAGAGAGAGAGAAAGAGAGAGAGAGAATCTTTCTATGAGAATCTTGTATTTCTATTTTAGATCATATTTCTTTTTCAAAAATGTACTAATGTATACGCGTACTATTGTGTGAAACCATCATTGATCGTAGCAATCGTCTCGCGTAAGCGTCTGACAATGAGTTGCATTGTCCTTGCCTGCCTCTTGTATTTGACCCGTGATTCGCTAATTATTTCTCTTAATAATTTAAAAACTAAGCATCGGACAAAATTTTCGAAGAGGAAAAATCGTCTCAGAATCAACTCGAGAATACGATATTTTAAGGATAAAAGTTTGTTTTGAATCATCCTGTATAGGATATGTAATGTATATACTAATATTTCGAATAAAATTTTCCTCGGAGAGGAACGTTTTAGAATGTAGCCTTAGAATATGGATGTTATCGCAAAACTTGATAAAAATATACTCATTCGATATGTTTCCATTCGAAATGAGAGACTGATAGTAGAAAAATGGAACAGTCTACTTTATGAAACGATTCGGTTAGAAAAATGAGTTTTTTTACCTGAATAATTATTAGAGCGTAATGCAAACGTCATCCGCATTATCATATTATCCAATGCTAAATACAAGGATAAAATGATATATGGGAACACTCGGGTAATGTTTCCAAATGTACCTCAACTCTAATATTTAAAATAATTCGCTTCATGTGAAGCGATATTACCACGTTTTCAGATTCTTTTATTTTGAGAGAAAACGAGTCGAATAAATATATTTTTATCAAGTTTGGTGATGCCAGTATTCTAAATAATTATCACAATTAAATAAGTAAATACAAATTTCTTATTAATTAAAATTTTGTTGCGATTTTACCTTATCTAACTCTGATTATATATATATAT